ATAAGGAAGTGCCACCTAATATTGTTTATTATTAATAATTGATAATTCATTATAAAGTGCATTTGAACCGTTATGAGCCTTTTAGTAATTTTTCATTTTTATAAGGGTATAACCGTAACCTCTGTCTCATCCATCATCAACCATTTAATTCATTACCAATTTATATACGCTATCTCTCTCAAGAAACCCTAATACACACAAACCTCTATTTTAACCATAACAGAAGAAACTACTGTTTCCACCACATTCGCCGCTAACATCGCTGCCACCGCCACCGTCCCCTAAGCCGCTCTTATGGTACTACGAGCGCTGCCATCACCACCGCCGCTAATCATTTCCTCCTTCCAACGCTGTTGGCACCACAATCCGCGAACAGTAACACCACATCCATTGAGAACTCGACCATTAATCGATTCATCACAACTACAACTAGAATACACCACCATCGAACAACAAAGTAATGTATTTTAATAAAATATTTACCAAAATGATGTGGTTTTTAAAATATTTATCATTTTGGTTAAATTTTATACCAAATCAAAATTAAAAAATAAAATAAAAAAAATTGACTTATCAGGTTAATAATTCTTTCGTCTTTTTTCATATTTGGGTAATTTTTTTTGTACACATGTAGATAAGGAATTTGATTAAAGTGTTTACACATATGACTATTATGACAGGATATAACCTACTACAACAAATTATAATAGTTATATGTGAAAACTTTTAACTAATTCGTTAATTAGAGATGGACAAAAAAAAAATTACGTATAAAAAACAAAAAAGTTAATTACCATTATAATTCTTTTTTTCTTTCACCAAATATACGACTGACGTCTATTTTTTAAAATCCCTTTTCAGTCTCCACTTTTTTTTTCTTGATTTCCTCACATTGCCATTTTTTTCAATTTGTTCATTCCAACTCTACCCCTCAAGCTATACTTCCTCTGTTCATCCCAACTTGAAGACATTAGTCATTTTCATGAATTCTTATCTCTCTGTCTGAATTTCTGACCCTGCAACAACATCATCCGCTATGGACGGTTTTACTTCTTCTTAATCATCTTCAAATTCGAGATGACTATACAATCCAAAAATCGTTCTTGTTTGATTGATCTTGGTTGAAACATTCAATTTTGGGTTTCTTGATTTCTACTTCTTCAACCAGAAATGAATTCCATTTCCTTGACATGAAACTAGCAGCAATCACCAGTTCTTGTTCTTGTTCTTGGTTGATTCAAGATAAAGATTTAAAAAAAATGGAGGTTTTTGGATCGGCAAGGAACAGGAATGAATTCTATGTAAGGATGAAGCTTTTACGGAGTAGACATGGAAAAACAAAGACGCCGTTTCGCTTTCGATACTTCAAATGGATTCTCTGGTTTTCTCTCTCCTTATACTTCTTTGCTACGTCTCTCGGCAACCATCGTCCGGCGACCACGTCGTTAAAAACTATAATTCCTCAACCACAACTGCGTTCTGTCTCCGGTGTTTTCTCAGACGCCGCAGTTCTCCGGCAACCTAGATCTTTGAAGGATTTGAGAGTGTATATATATGAATTGCCATCGAAATACAATAGTGATTGGCTGTCGAACAAGCGATGTAGCAACCATTTATTTGCGTCGGAGGTGGCGACACACAAAGCATTGATTAAAAGCAACGTACGGACGTTTGATCCAGCGGTGGCCGACTTCTTCTTCATGCCGGTTTATGTTTCCTGCAACTTCAGCACCGTTAATGGCTTCCCCGCCATCGGACATGCACGTGGGCTTTTATCGTCTGCAGTTGAATTAATTTCATCGGAGTTTCCTTTCTGGAACAGGAGTAATGGTTCCGATCACGTGTTCGTCGCTTCTCATGACTTCGGAGCATGTTTCCACTCCATGGTAACACGAAACTTTCAAAATTTCGATGATCTCAGTTTGCTCATCTTCAATTAATCATGGCTTTTCTGAAAATTTGATTTTCTTCCATGAATTAGGAAACTAAAGCCATCGCCGCTGGCATACCGGAGTTTATGAGGAATTCGATTGTCTTACAAACATTCGGCGTTAGATACCACCACCCATGTCAAGATGTTGAGAATATCGTCATCCCACCCTACGTATCGCCGGAGAAAGTTCAGTCTGTACTGTCAATGTCACCGATCACTGGCCGGCGGGACATTTTCGTGTTTTTCCGGGGAAAAATGGAAGTCCACCCTAAGAACGTTAGCGGTCAATTCTACAGCAAGTAATAACTAATAATAAATTCCCATTTATCATCAAATTGACTTCTTCTCGTTCTGTATTCTGTAGTGACGAAATTGCCCCTAATCCAAATATTCCATTTACAGGCGCGTGAGGACGGAGATACTGCGGAAGTACCGGAACGATCGGCGATTCTACCTGAGAAGAAACCGGTTCGCCGGTTATCTATCGGAAATCGTACGGTCGGTGTTTTGCTTGTGCCCACTCGGGTGGGCCCCGTGGAGTCCTAGACTTGTGGAATCAATTGCGTTGGGTTGCATCCCGGTGATCATTGCCGATGGCATCCGGTTGCCGTTCGAAACCGCCGTGCCTTGGTCGGAGATATCTCTCACGGTGGCGGAGAGGGACGTCGGGAAGCTTGGCAGAATACTTGATTACGTGGCAGCCACGAACCTGTCAGTCATCCAGCGAAACCTGTGGGATCCAACCGTCCAGCGAGGACTCCTCTTCCACAATGACGTGGAAGTTGGTGATGCCACATGGCAGATCCTCAATGCATTATCTGAGAAACTCGAATAGGTTCTTCATTCTTCAATCTTCAAAGACACAAAAAAGATATACATATACATGTTGAAATCATTTTTTATAGAAATTCCAGCTATTTAGATGGAAATTTTTGACATATGTGGGCCCCCACTTTACGCCAAGCTGTCATTCACGTGTTGATGAGCTGGCGATCGGCGATTGATGCTGGTATATATAACGTACGAGGAGGGATATTATGCGGGGTGGTCCTTGTAACGATTTATGTCGTCTTCCTTGTGACGATGATGTTACACTTTGAAAATATAGAATTTGGGACCCTTGAAAGAACGATTTTGCTGATTTATATTTGTAAATAATATTAGAAACTGTTCGGTGATCTGTAAGAAAACATTATATTTGTAATAATATAATTATCATTATATTTATATTTGTAATAATATATGTATCATTGTATAACTGATCCATTAAACTTATTATATAGTCAAATATATTTATAACAAATTTTATTTATTAAAAAGCTTTTGTTAAAACGTTAAGTAAGAAATATGAAATGTGCTTGGTGTATGAAAATTTAAAGTAAGAACTTCTATAAAAAAAAAATAAGGTTTTGAAAGTATTTTTTTTGCTGAAAAATATCTGTGAAAGATAAAAAAAATTTGTAGATATGTGACAGTTTGGCACGTGAAATCTGTCTAGGGGGAATGTATTTGTTATGGCAGAACAGGTCACGGGTTCTTGAAATTTGGTAAAAAGGTTGTGGGGAATTTTGGGTATATTGGATAACTTTTGTCCTTGTCTTGAAATGTGAATTTTATTCCAAATAATATAGTCTTTGTGTTCTTCTTTTAAAAAGAAAATGAATTTCATTTCATACGATTGTTTAATAATTTTTTTCTCACGTCAACTTAATTAAAATATTATTCAACAAGACAAAATTAATAAAACATTTAACTCAAATCCAAATCACACGCTTTTTATAATAACTATTAGGGATAATGACTTAAAAGGGTAATATATTTTTTGATTTGTACACATTTGGTCACTGAGTTTTTTTTCGTCTATATTTACCCCTTCAACTTGTTAAACCGTACACATTCAGTCCTTATGACCGGTTATTCCAGGTTAGTCGGAAAAAATGACTTAATAGGTAATATATTTCTCATTTTGTAGACATTTAGTCCTTAATATTTTTGTACACATTTAGTCCTTAATATTTTTTTTTGTTTCAAAATAAGTCATATTTGTTTTTGTACTCATTCAATACTTATGAATATGAGACAATCATTGATGAAGTGTGTGGGGTTGTTGATGTTTATGTGTAATGTCTCGTTTTCACAAAAAAAATCATTTTTAAATAAGGCAAAAGTATCTGATTATAAATTTATTATTAAGAAAAAACGTTTATTCCAAAATACATTTATCAAAAATCAGAGTAATATAAGAAACACAAAATCCTCAATACTATTGATGAATGTGTACAATCATACCTTCACCTTCCCACGATCAACGATAGAACCTGAAAACATAAACAACGGGGTAAGCATAAAGTTTAGTGAGTTTCCCCCAAAATACCCGATACAACAAACGTATTATCATGCATAACGGTCCCACACTCATCAGATTGGAATACCTTGGCCTAATCAATCATCGGACTGGAATGCCAAAATGCAACATGTCCAATCAGTCATCGGACTGGAATACCCAAGGTTTATCGGCATGCCGCCTTAACCCAACCGCTCTTCTCGAGCTTCCGTGCCTACGACTTACAGCCGACCCGCACTAGGTATCTTGGCCTACAGTATATAGCAGGACCACCTCAACTTATCCCACCACCATATAGCTATCCCACGTAAGATGTCGCGAGAAAAACCTAAAGAAATCATTCATAAGTACTGAATGAGTACAAAAACAAAAATGACTTATTTTGCAACAAAAAAATATATTAAGGACTAAATGGTACAAAAATATTAAGGACTAAATGTGTACATAGTAAGAAATATATTACCCTATTAAGTCATTTTTACCGGCTAACCTGGAGTAGCCGGTCATAAGGACTAAATGTGTACAGTTTAACAAGTTGAAGGGGTAAATATGGACGAAAAAAAAAGTCAGTGATTAAATGTGTACAAATCAAATAATATATTACATTTTTAAGTCATTATCCCTAACTTTTGTTTACGTGTAACAATTATGTATTAAAATGTTATTTTATACGATTTTTAAATATATATGAAAAAAACTGTTATATACATTATACAATCACTTTCCATATGAGAAATATGATTATAAAATAAAGAGCTAACACAATTTTTTTAATAACATAATATATAAGTTTTTTTTTTTCTTTCAAATATAAACCGTATTTGGTTTAAAAGTCATCATTCTTTCTTGGAATCTTCTGAGTTGGAAACGAATTTGTTCAATTGTCTTTTTAACTATTTTATTGTTTTGATTAATAAAAACATTTTTAATATTTTTGGCGATTCACAAACTTTATCATGAAATTTAAAATATTTGTTGATGGTCCATTTCTCGATCATATTATTATTTGATTAATTTGAAAACAATGATATCAAAGAGAAAAAACTGTTCACGTTTGCATTCTGTTCGCCGTTTGAATTATCATACGCTGGAAATAAAGACATTGAATTATTCATATTTTTTTCTTACATATTTTTGAAAAATATTTATAATCATCTAAATTATATTTTATATTTAAAATTTATAAAATTATTAAAACAATTTATTGATAGAAATTGTATATCGCTCGGCAGTGGCGAGGGTAGGTATAAAGAAAGGTGGGTCCTAGGACCCACCTAATTTTTTTTAATTTATTTAAAATTTCTATAGAAATTTTTTTGGGGACCTACCTTACCTATAAAAATCTTTAAATTTGTATAGAAAAATTAGTGAACAATTTGGTTTTCTATTCTAGACTCGACACTGTCGCTCGGGTTCTACTATGACACACCAACCTACATAATTAGACTTATTTTTTTGGTGAATGATGATAAATTATTATCATATAGTTATTATTGACCTTCTTTTTAAGTCATCATCACAATATAATTATTATTTGACCAACTTTATTATTAGTTTATTATAACCTAATCAGCAAATCATTATTATTTAATAATTACATTTTTATTATTAACTTTATTAATATTAATAATTTTAAATTAATTTTTTATTAAGATAAAAAAAACAACAAAAATATTGTTCTTATAATATAATAATATTATAAAAAAATAAATTTTCAAATAATTTTTTATCAACCTAATATCATTGATAGTATAAATAATATTATAAGAAAAATAAATTCTGAACAAATCTTCATCATTTTTTTTAATTTTAAATATTATTTAACAAAAATCCGAGACAAAAATAAACAAAAACTAATCATTTATAGTCATAAAAGATCTTTCTGTAGGTTTGAGTCGCTTATAAAATTCTAGACGCGACTTATACATAGTTTGTCATCCGGTTGCGGACGAGTCTTTGTGGCAGATCCATAATGCTGAAATAGCAGGCATCAGGTACTCTCCTTCTAGCTCTACTATCACATAGTGATTGGTGTATACAAGTGCAAATGTAAGGACACAATGATTTTGAAACTCTCTAAGACCTCTAGCGGTTTAACATTCAGCTCTATTAAATCTTGGACCAAACGCGTCTCTTTATTCGACAATCGTATTGCAAATGAATGACCCTCCATATACATTGATGGTTCGTGATTGTGATCATCACGTACGACCTTTAACTTCCAACCATCATGTGCCTTCAAATACTTTCCTATCAATTCGAATGGACAATTAATTTTTTTTGTTTCTACATTTTTACTTCTAGATATACCACCACGGTCATAACAAATAAATACTTTAGAGGTGAATCTAAAGGTTGTTGTCTTCAATCGTTTAGTGACCGTAACAAAACCTTGAGAACGCGCCACATTTTGAACTCAATTCTTCAAATCTTCAAGAGATCTAAAAAATATAATACAAAAAACCACTTAATTTTTTTTTATTTTTTTTTTCGTATTTTCATTTTTTAGACTGTATTTTTTATCGAAAAAAAAACTAAAAATACCAAAACTAATAATTTTTTTGTATCCACAACTTTATATTATTATTCAGCAATGAATAAATGAATAGTCACAGGTTAAAACTAAACTCAGAATTTACTACACAAATACACATACATAAATTTATAATAGAATAATAACATTCTGATAAATATATGAATAATCAAACGTTAATATTCATATTAAAATTACTTCAACTATATACATATACAACATTCGTTACAAAATAATAAGATAAACATAGTGTTTTTACGTTTTCACACTATTTAATATT